GTAGAAGGACATAGAGTCCATCAACAAGAGGACTTGTTCAAAGATAAAAGGAGAAAATGAAACTTAAATTTAAAGAAAGAAGGTGTGTGCTGATCATGATAAACCTCATTTATTTTACACTGGAGCACTCTCTATATCCAGTTCACAGTATATCATTTTGTATTTATAATAATCATATTGTACAGTTAAGAAAAGTGGACTGGACAAAGCACTAAAAGATATAAGTATTAAGGAATTCTGCAGTGCAAATGGGAATAAACTGGGCTAACTTATAAAACACCATAAATTTATATGATGGGGATTCACAATTTAGAGCATGAACCATTTATCACATTTAATCTATCATAAGCCTTTCAGTTACTTTCTTTGTCCTCTCCTTAGTCTATTAGCAACCTAGTAAGAGGATTAGATCACATAGCCCAAAAGCAGTAGTACTCTTTCCTAACTGCCTCATTAAAATGATCTCATGCTAGATATTTTCCCCAATGTAAAGTATTTATTCCATCACTATTGCTAACAGTTCAGATTGATTAAAAAAAATGTTCCAGACTTACAGGTTTGACCTGGACAGCGTGATCTTCAAGGTTTCTTCAGGTGCCTGAAATGTGAGATCCACCATTAAAAATCAGTTACCCCAGACTCACAGCTCATGGAGCCAAACCTGTCCACAGGCAAGATCCTTCACTCTGGATGTCACAGTGGCTCCCAAGGCACTTTTGGCTTACAGTACTAAGGGAGCAGCCTCAGGCTGCAGGTGCCATTTCTGCACCACAGACCTGGCAGGAGCCAGACATACTTCAGTGATGTCTACAGAGCTGGAGAGAAGAGGACTTGCTTTGGTCTAGACTGATCTGATAGATCTGCCTCAAACTGACATAAGAAGATTCTAATTTCACACACTTGTCAGTCTGTTTCTCTCAAACTGCATTTTAAACAGTGAGAAAGCCTTGCTGCAGTGTTTTTCATCCATTGGGGAGGCTTTGCAAATGGAATATTGTCTGTAGTTTCACTTTTTGCTCCTAATGTGATTTAAAATAATTATTTTAACACTTAATTTGGATTCAGTAATTACATTAATAAGCAATGACTAATTAATTTGTAACATCAGAGACTTTCCAAACAGTTTCCAAACACTCTTCATTTAAGAATATTTCTTGCCTTTTGTAACTTCCTTGCTTATCTGTCACTATATTACAATAATAATGAGAGAACTTCTTGCTTGTTTGACTAAAATAAAAAAGCTGTGCTGAAACCAAATTGCCTAAGGACTTTTTCAGTTATCTTCTCTTTTCCCAAGCTTCTTACAGAAGTTATGTCTTCCTGACCTATTGTCAAGCCAGCATGTTAGGCACATAGCAATTTTAGGTTGAGAACCTACTGCTGTGTAATAAATTAGATATTAGGTGTAGATCTGACAGTGACTTGAGAAGCTAAAACGCCAGTTCTGGCATTTGAAGTCATAGATTAGAATCTTGAGTTGGAAGGAACCCATAGGAATCATTTAGTACAGGTCCCTGTTTCATGCAGGACTACCTAAAACTGAACCATATGGCTGAGAGCAGCATCTGAAAGAAATGAAAAAACATCTTAGGTGTTGAGGAGACAGTTTTTCATCCTTGACCTTACAAGGATAATAGGAAAGCCCTAGGATTTTGATTTAGCCTAAATTCTAGTTAAGGCTTGGTGCTTTAGCTATTTACCTTACATTGCTGCAAAAAAAGGGTTCTCACTTTGGCTTATGATTTTACAACACAAATGGGATACAAATAGAAGAGAGTTTTTTCTGATAATTGGTGTTGAACTGTGTTAATCCCATGTTTGCAATAATGTATAACAAAGCAGCAGAGCATTCCCCACAGGGCTCGGCTGGGGCTTTGAAATTCTCTAGGGTCAGATCTTTCTTTACGTTGAAATTTTGTCATTGTAGTAAATAAAATAAAACTAAATAAAACTAAGCAAGCAAACAAACCACAAAGCCAGAGCTCCAGATTGCCTTTTAAAAGATCTAGTTCCATTCATTGTTAACAACTGTAATTTTTAGAAAAATAAGGACTCTTAGCATATTCTTAATTTTCATTACAAGTAAAAACATTACAGCTGAAGTGATTGTGCTTATTCTGGTTTAAGAATGGTATCCTCCAGTTCAGTGCTCCCATGCTGCTGCTTGTTCCCCCTTCCCTCCTGAGCGTGGCTGGAGAGGAGAATTGGAGGCATAAAAGACAAAGATCACAGGTTGAGATAAGAACAATTTACTGGAAACAGCAGTGAGATAAGAACAGTAACAGCAACAAATGAATGACAGAGGGTAGAAGAGAAAAAAGGATCCACACAGGAGAAAGACAGCCTGGTAATAGAAAATATTGGATGGCTCCCTCTGCCATGTTTTCTCAACAAGCAGGAATCCCTTCTTGCTGGAAAAGACTCCTTTTTCCCCACCCCCAGCAATGAAGTGAGGTGTTATAGAATAACCCCTGTGTCCTGGCCATGCCCCTCCTGCTTGCTGCAAAAAATTTACCCTGTCCTGGCTGGAACCAGGATAGTGCTGTAGCATCAAATGTTAAAAATCCAACGAATCATTATGTCAATAAATCGGCAGAATGGTACAAAAAAGCCCTAGGAAATATATTATGAATAACATTTAAAGTCTGGATGAAGAGAAATCAGTGGGAATTTTACTATTCAACATGACAAGGTTCCACTGAAACAGAGTATTTTGTTTCTTTTCAGTATTTATCATTTATTTATACTGTGGTACTACTCAGAGGCTCAGTATTTTATTCATAGAAGAGTTGTGAGTCCCAAAACTAATTCTAGAGTTTACACAAATGAGCATTGGTTGCATTTTGTCTTATTATTCATTATTTATTAAGGATTCCTTGTAGCAATGTCATGTATCAACTCAGAGGACAAAAACAATAATGTGACTCAGTGAGTGACACCATATTTCATGTAAGTGAGCACAGAAAAAGCTATCTAAAAACTGAAATTTATTTGCATAAATTATCTGGTGAATAATTATGACTAACAAGAACATTAAAACAAAATCTGGACCATTGCAGAAGAAGGCTACACAAAAAGCAGCCTTTTTGTGACAAGACAAATTATCCTGTGCTGAGTTCTGTAGTGCCACAGCTGAGCTGCCACTGGTCTTCGAGCTGCATCATGTCAGGCTGGCTCAAGTACTTCAAATTACTACAAGTTGCTGCTGTCTTGTCTAAATAAACCACTTACAATAAATTACTCTAACAACTCAAAATCTCAGAACACATTGGTTTAATAATACAAACTCCAGCAGTTTCCAGTTGGCTGTCACTCCTTACTATGCACTTCAAAAATATTTTCAATTAACATGTTTGATCATAGTAACAACATAGAGACAAAGGTTTTACAAATGTTTGAAAACATACAAAAAGAACAACTAAATTAATACATGTGAGTTATTTTTCTCTGTGGTACTCTTGTTTGAAACATGCAAAGTAAGACAAGGAATTAATTTGCTGCTTACAATTTCTCTAGTTTTCTCATTCTGCCTAGGTTTACCTATGTCTGAATTAATAGGTAATTAATATAGTACAATAGAATATTACAGTAGAATAAGCTAGATTTAGAAGAATCTACCACAATTTTGTGCTATGTGATGTTCTGCAAGGTGAAGTTGCCATTCAACTCATATAAATCAAATACTGTGTAATAAATCCAAATACATTTTAAATGCTCAGCCTGATTTCCATATTGTTGGAGAAGAACACTGCCATTTTCTTCTTCTGACTGAAATGAATCTAAAAGAGGAAGCAAAATCTGCAGAAAATGAGGGCTCTAGCTGGGTTCTACATAGAGTACCTCCCTGCAGAAATTAAATTCTGTAGATGTTGATTCCTTAAACCGAACACAAAACTTCTCTTATTTTACTTAAGTTTTCGCTTCATGGAACATAAACTTAACACTTCCTTAGGTCAGGATAAAAATATTAAATACTATGTCTTCTGTTGGGCATCTGCTTCCACTTGAGAGGCCTCCTAGCCAGGGACAAATGCTGACATTTTGGTCTGCTTTGAGATCCACTCAAGACTCTGCTTGCCCAGCTTTTACTCTGAATTTTAACATTATGACTGACCAGTTGATACTACTAAAATGGTGATTTATGTTTGAGCTATAGTTTCAACTGGTGCTTTTCTCTCTCATTTTTTTAAAATTTTGTTTTGTTCTACTACAAAATCATTGTAGCTTCTACCAAACAAGGTTTTGAATAAGAAAATTTTCTGTATTCCTGAAAAAAAACAAGGCTTTTTCATTAGATTGCCCTCAATGATGCAGTGTTTGACTTACTCCATTTGGTGTTTATTTGATGGTTTGCTGATCTGCTACAAAACTTATTATGAAGACTCAGGAAGTACTCTGGATCTACAATGCTTCTGTTCTCTTATAATGAGATTATAAAAGTATCTCACAGAAGCTTCATAAAAATCAACACTCCAAAGAATGGAGGTAAATTACAGTAGAGAGAGGATAGACAACTGCTTGGACAAAAAATAGAGGAGAAAAAAGCTGTTTCTGGGATATTGCCAAAGAGCCTCAGTAAATTTTATTGAGAAGTAGGCTGAACCTAATTTTCTTGTTTGTTTTTAAAGCCTCACTGAGGATTTATGTAAGTTGCAGTGCTTGTTGTCAGTAGTTTCAAGTGGCCATGTCCACCCAAATTACAAGAAGATTTCAGTCATGGAAATATCTTTTTGTTTTATTTTCACAGTCTAAAACATAGTCTGTACCTCCATACATATATTATTGTAGAAAAAACAGAGAAGTTCATATGCACTTCAGGATTTTGTAAAAGCAAACTTTTGAAAAGCTTGAAATCAATATAAAATCTTTCCCAGATTTATGCTTGTTTTTTCAAATGCCAGTGAGGGTCTGTATACATTATAGAAATATATTTATATAAAGCAAAACAGGGGCAAAACCCCCTTAATCCACATGTGTTGAAAATGACACATTTTTCTATGGAAGTTTGTTCAGCTGCTGTCAATAAGGTCATTATTTAACTGTTTTCTAGATGGAGACAGTTTATCTTATAAAAATGTTTTATTTTGTTTTTTAAAGGACATGGTTCAACCTTGGCTTGGCTTTTGCAGTGGAGTACAGCAAATCCTTTTTCTACAAACAAAATGTTCTAATTTACTGCCCTCGATAAGATCCCCAGGCTTGCTTAAATTGTTCAAAGTGTTAGAGGTGCAGCCTATGCCAAAAACCGTACTAGTATAAATATTGCATATATTTTCAATTTGTGGGTGAATGTAATGCAAAACAATTTTGGTTGTTAGGCACATTGCAGGCAGGCTCTGCAGGCTTCCCACACACGTTGCAACCAAAGCACTTCAGTCCTGACAGTTAACACCATATGATGTTCCACTCTTGAATTGCCTTGTGAGCAGCAACTGCCAGCTCTGCCTGTGAGTTTTGGAATATTCAAACCCTGTAGACCTGACGACTGGTTTGATTTTTTTAATTTGTTTTCCTTAGCATCCTGCTCTCTACACACTATGAATGTCTGCTTGCTGTGAAGGATTCCTTCTGCATACTTAATTTTGCCTCCTGGTAAGCCAATTTTGCTCAAATTACTTTCATTTAAAATCATGGGACACCTTCTTTCAAAGTGAAGCTGCTGGATTTTTTTTCTCCACCTTCTATTAATATAATGAAGTTGTGTTTACTGAGACAATGGACATAGAAGTTGGTCTTCAGTCTCTTCCTAAAATTTCTTAGCACTTAAGAATATGGTTAACCCTCTGTATAAATTGACTCAATTGACTATTAGAAGAGATACACTCAGTACATTGAAAGGAGAATGGCCCAAAAAGCATAATAAATAAATAAATAATAAATAGATAGGTAGATAGATAGATAGATAGATAGATAGATAGATAGATAGATAGATAGATAGATAGATAGATAAAAAAATTCTTCCTCCAGAAGTACTGGAAAGAAAAAGCAGCAGGTTGTGGGGAGGGAAAGAATTGTCTGGTTTTATGCTTTAACTCTGGTTTTATGCTTTAACTTAAAGTAATATTGGCTCGTTCTTTATTACACACTAGAAATTTTCCAGCTTTGTTCCACACTGGTCAGATGAAGAAACCTTAGAGAATGGAGAAAACAGGCAAAGTAAGGATTGGCTGCTTTGGAAAGACACTGAAGTCCCATGAAGGCTTTATTTCATTGTTGCCCTGTATCATTTGTCCTATGAGAGCTCAGCATCATTTGTGGCTTTGGAGCATTTGTCATAGCAACCAAATTGGTACATGCTTAACAAGGCAAAGTGTTGTCCAGTCATACTTCCTTCAGACTCTTGCTGTCAAAAAAGATTTGTAATAAAGACTATAAATAACAAAGCTATAGCTGTAGTCCATGCACAGAGAAAGAAAATTCAAAAAATCACTATTTGAGCATACATGTAGAAATAATTTTGGAAATAGTGTATGCAATGTAATCTGTACACCTATAGGATTGGAGAAAGTCATTAAATTAATGGTGTCAGAAAGCCTACATACCACCTACACACCAGTAAAATCAAAAACCAGAAAAACATATCCAGCTGAAGCAGCGCAGGGAATCCTAAGTTTATTCAATATCCTTAGGTAATTTTTTATTATCCTAAGACAATTTATATTGAATTCAGAGTCAAATCAAGATCCCTAGGCATTCAGGGTGTTTTCAGAAACAAGTCCTGCTGCAGAGTGCCACCGAGAGAATGTTGGTTTTTGGATAGGCATTTAAATAATTTTTAAGTACACGAGCCTCTTTAACATATAACAGCAACAGAACTCATTAATTTAAGTCATCTGACACAGATGTAACTTTTCCTGCTGACTTTGTCCACTGTTGCTATGAGAGCCTCTCTTCTCTTCAGTCTTATGCCTCTAGCAGAGCTGGAATTTGTAGTTACTGTACAGCTTAAGGTTAGTCCACAGGGCCCGTCCGCCACACTTAACCACCAAGTCTTCTGGGTTGTGCTCTTTCCCTCTGGTTTTGGGAAGTATGAAAGAGGTGAACATGGAAATTTGACAGTCTTATTGTTCAGCTTTGCTTGAATATTGTTAATATCTAAAATCAAAAACAAAGCATTTACAGGAAGACAATAAACTAATAGAATGCTGGTTTTATTCCATCTACAAACACCCTGCTTAAGTTTTATTAGATGTCTCTGAGCATTTACTCAGTGAGGGAGATAATATTCACCCAGCCAGAGTTCCTTGGCCCTGGTTCATTCTCAGGTTTTGCCTCTGTTTGTCCAAACCAGTTCATCAGGTTCATGAGGACACTGAGCCCAACCTTTTCAGCTCAGCAGTTATGTCACTGCCATCAGTGCCACTCAAATGTTTGCTAAGGTGTGACTGGTCTTCAGTACATCTTCCTTCCTTGTTTTTTAAGTTTAACTAAAAGAATTTGTTTGCAAAACAAGTGTCTCACAAGCCCAGTCTCTTTTGCTGCTTTGCTGATCCTCCACTCAGAGCAGCTACTTGTTTTGCTGTGTTGCCCTCCATCCTTAATATCCATGCCTTCCATCTTTTCATACCTTGTTTAAATAATGCCCATCCTGACTTCAGATTGGTTATATTTGGCCACTGTTTCAAAGGACTTATACTGTTGCAAGAAATTCCTGCATACAGATGCACTCATACGGACAATTGCCTGTCAGCGTCTTTCACCTGGGCTTCCTCTTTGAGCAGCAAGAGAAATGAAGTGGGATGGCAACACTGCCCTGTAGTGGCTACAGGTCTGTGAAAGTTCATCTTTACCCTGTTTCACTCCTTTCCTTTCTTCAATCACAAAAAAGCATGCCATTCACACATTCACCACAAGTAGGTACAGTAAGATATGAGTTCAATTTTCCAGAGAAAATGATCCTGATGCTCCTTGTTAAAGACACCGAAGGGAAGCAGCAGACATCTGAGCTGAGCAGACAGTGCTGCCTTAAATGGCCATCAGAAAAGGAAGATAAGTCTGGGAGAATATTGATTATGTGGCAATTTAGGAGGCAGCAAGACTGATGTGCTGTTCACGTTGACATTGTTCAACAATCTCTTCTACCCTGTGACAACCATGCTAATCCTCTGTGCCAGCCTGATAGGCTTATTCAATCCAGCCTGGATTCCTGTGTAAAACACCTGCAAAAAAAAAAAAACCTGCATGAAATAGTGTTTTATTACAGCATTGTTGTTTTGGGGGAATCGCACCTAGCCATCCTTCCATAGGAAAATAAGGCAATATTCAGAGACAGTTAGTTGCCAAAGGAAACAGAGCAAATTCCTGTGTCAATTCCCATGTTAGGCTATCAAGATGAAAAAGCACGTCTTGTGTACAGGACAGAAATTAAATAATTTTTAAGTGTAAGAATTTTGTTCATTCACCATTCAGGGAAAAGAGGTTTCACATGGGGGAAAACAAAAACAGCTTTTCTGTGTTTCTGCTTGTATGTGGCAAGAGAATCCTACCTGCTCTCGGCATGGAGTGAAAAAGGAATGTAATTCAACTGCAGACAATAAATGACCTGGACAAAAAGAGCTGAAAAAGAGTCATGCACTACAGGAATCCTGTTGAACATACAGGATTACCCCTTTACTCACTATTAAGCATTTTGATTTGGAGGAGAACAGATGGAACACAATATAGCTGCAATAAGATTCAGTATGTAAATTGCTCAAGGCAAAGATCATGTCAGGGTTTTTTTTCTATTTACACATATCACAACCACCATTGGAATTTCTGGAGACTAATATAGCACAAATATTATTGCTTCTAGTACTACTTGTATGGTAGTAAATGTTATTTATAGGAAACAGAAAACTGATAAAAATCTTCTGTAAAGGAAAATAAGTTAAAAATGGTTGTAAATTACATTGGATATATTGAGATTACAGCACTTGGCAGTTTAAGTTTCCTCTCTCCTATGGGTAATTGCTGAATTAAGCATAGAATGGCAGGAAAGGGGGCTGACATAAAATGTTGATCCTATTATCATCTATTTTATTGTAGAAAGAGGCTAAATTATGATCAATAGTGAAATATTCAGCCCAGGCTAGCATGCTGTATCTAGCACAGATGCATAGCTATCTCTCAATTCCCAGTGCAATCCTGACAGCTACCCCTTTAGTCTTGTGTACAGCCTTGGGAGCTGAGAAAAAGCTTGGGAGTGAGAGAAAAAGATGCTTCAGGTTTGGGATTGTATGGATCTCTGCTCTTCAGTCTGGCTTCATTGTGGGTCTTGGGTTTTCAGCATCTCCAAGCAGCCCAGAAATGCAGCCCAACATTGACTGCTGTAAATGGTAGAGCAGAGTCACAACCAGTCACAAAACTGGGATAATGTTTTGCCTCCCCAAAGTTGAATTTTCATCATGCTAACAGTGGGCTCATCATTCACACCAGACTGAGCCTGGACACAAATATCTCTTTCTGTATTAGTGGGTATTGCTGGAGTCAAGTCTGGAGTCAGACCCTTTCTTGTGATAAACTTCCCTACCTGAGGAACAAGATCCCTACCTCCAAAGCTCTAAGCAGCTCCTGTTGCCAAGCACTAGAGCCAGAGCTCCTCTCTTGAATGTGGTATTGTGTCATTCCTCCCTGCTCTCTCCCTTCCTGACCAGTTACCCCTCCAAATATCGAATGGCACCTTTCCCTCTAAGCAGCAGTTTCTCAACTCTTTGTTGCATCTGGTGTTTATCCCATTCCCCATGCTATCCTGGAAAGGGCAGGAGGTACTCTCCAACACATACCATTCTCCAAAACTTTAATATAAATTAACAATGTGCCAAATTTCCCCTCCTCTAGTCTTCTTCTATCTTTTTCCCATTTCTTTTCAAATACGCAGCTACTTGAGGATGCCCTGGCTAATATGCTGACATGAGACTTGAATGTCATGCTGACATGCTGTAATCTTGTAGAGCAGAAATGAAACATATTATTGTTTAGAAATTAAAAAGCATATAGTCTTCCCTCCCCCCCTCCATATTTCCTTGCCAGTTTCCGATTAGATTGCTAGCTTGGTTTTTTGTCCTTCTTGCACACAGCACACTCCTGAAATATTCTGTGTACTTTTTTGGATGCAGAAAGCTGTAATGTTCCACCCACTGCATTGCAGTTGTGACTGAGAAATAGTCTGCAAAATATATGGGACTCCCAGAAGATCTGAGACACTATTATAAATATATTTAATGTTAATATCCTATGATAATGTTTATTTAGGAATCATATATGGCGTTAAATTGTGGCACTATTGCTCACCACAAGGACTGTACTTTCCTCCTTTATTTGAAGAGGTGCACTATGTTTTTATTTCATTTCAGTTTGATTTTCATGAAAACAGCTAGCTGCTTTTTCCTTAGTGACTGCTCTCTTACTGAAAAAACTGTTGTGTGAAAATATGATTTATGCCCAAAAGGCAAAGCTTGTCTTCACTGTGAGCCCAAGTGAGAGAAATGCCCACTTTAGAGCAGCCCTCTGCTTTCTTGGCAAGTCTGGATTGGGAGCCATCACTACATGTGGTACAGTGGAGCTCACGAACAATCTTCTCAGAAACAACAGCCCTAAAGCAGTTCCCAGGGGGTCTGAAGAGTAAAGCCCAAGCCATTACAAAAGGTCAAGAGGTGGATATAATACTGTAGAGAATATAAATTCATGAGCTCAGATATTCTCCAAAACACAGGCTACAGTCAAAGGAAACAAAGCAACCATGTAAATTTATCATGTTGTCAGCAGATGAAATGTGGACATTTTATACTTTCCATGTACTCCAAAATTATTTTTCTAACAATATGAATATTATCCTAACAACTGATGGACCTAGCCATTATATATTAATTTAAATAAGATTTTCTTAACTAATTGCAGGAGTTTAAGGAGCCACAGTAGAAAGAGGAACAGCTTTAAATGTGTCTTGTTGGAATGGGAGGGAAGGCAGAAGGAAAGGGAGGGAGTTGAAGGAGGCAGAGAGAGGGAGGGAAGGAGGGAGATAAAGAAACTCCCTGTCGTAATTTCTGTCCCTACCCATCCCCACTGAAGCAGAAAGTGATGTAATAGCTTATAATTTAGCTTTTTTTCAGAAAACTTGCAATAGATTTTGCTTCCAAAATCTCTTATACCTGGTATACAGGAGAACGTTATAACAACAGAATTCATGACATATTCTTCTTTCTGTATTGTCAATTTGAAAAACTAGCTCTGTCAAGAACTAGTTTATTATGTGAAGAAAGTGCTCACTTTATTTTCTGGCTAGACACAATTCATTGTTTTCCTATGGGTGATGACAGATCTCCCCCCTGTTACAGCTGAAAGCTGGCAAACAGCTATTTGATGCTGTTAGGAAAAAACCCTGTAAGACAAGTAGAGAATATGTAAGCCTGATTTAGAAACTCCTCTAGAATTTGAAAAGCAAAAAGATGTTTGTTTACAGGTTAGTGGGATATTAGAAAACAAAGCCTAGCAAAGAGAATTTAAACATTCACCTCGTTCTTGTTTATACAAATAATTTTGTATGTGTCTTTGAAAATCCCTGTTATGAAAAGATTTCTAAGTGCAAAGCACAGTTTGGGGTTTGGTCTTTTGAGACTTATTGTTCCTGCCTGTAAGGATAAGATAAATACAAATATATATCACAAGAGCATTTTATGTTCCTTTGATACATTGTTTTACATTAATTTGATATTTACATACATGTGTGTGCACCTATGCAGAAGTCTCTCAAGAAAACAAAGTATTACATTTCCTGTTGTATATTATGTCTTATAATCTTTACAATCCTTCATATTAGGTGATGGACTGCTTCTGAAACTGCTTGAGAAGTTAGGAAAGCATTACTGGGGGACTGTGGTAACAGTAATTCAGTTGTGATTCAAATTCAGAAGACCTTATAGTCTCCTATTTCTATCCATGAGGTAAAATGACTATATAGAAAATAAGAAAGGTGTGCCTTTGCTCTACAAAAGGCTTATTTGTTTTGAATTAATATTATAAAAAAGGCTTCTTAAGTGAAGTGGCAGGTTATTCTGCAATTAAAAGATAAAGCAGATTTCAGTATTTACTGCCTTTGGTATGAAAGCTGATGAAGAATTCACAGATATATTGACAATACTTTGCAGAAGACATACCAAACATTCTTCACCAGGAATAATCTACACACTGAACTCACATCTGCCTTTAACCGTTGTTTTAATTTTGAAAGATTATAGAGTGATTGGAGTAAAAGCAGTGACACTATAATAGCCTTTCCTTTCTCTCTATTTGGATGTTGAAGCCAACATTTGACACTGATTTAAAACAGATTTCTTAGAATACTTGTAAATCTTGCCAGTATTTATCATCTTGACCAAACCCAGCACTGTATATCAGAAATAAAAAAACAACCATATTTGATGTTTTGATTATCCTTCTCTTGAAGAAGGATTCTGGTCTGGGTGGCTTGACAGACCAGAAGCACAACAACTATAGGGTCACATTCTGCAGTTTTTTGCTGCTTTAAAACCACAGTATATAAAAATGAAGCAAAACAAAAACACCTGGAATCTGGAAAAATCTAAAGAGGTGATTAAGATTTTGCAAGCACACAAATAAAGCAGGTATATATACTTTTTTTCCAGAAAATATTTGCTCTTATATTTTAATGTGTATTTTAGAAAAGCTGTTCATTCATTCCTCAGTCATCTTCACGAAAAATTATGTGTGGAATCATTATGGAGTAAGTCTGTTAATCAGTGAATGATTCATGTATATGAGAAACTTAAAAAGTAAAGCGTGCAGATTTAAGTGTATATCATCTCAAAACGTCTGAAGTTATTTCTCATCACAGAAAGCCAGGCTACCTATGTAATCTTTTTGTATATATCTGTCAGAAATGGATGATGATCCTTGGCAAAGTCAAGACCTGAAAGGCACTGACAATAATTTGTCTCACATTTTTATTTTCCACTGTAACTCTGATGCTAGAATCGTTGTTTACTGGTGTTTGCTTTTAGCCTTTCCATTTTTTCCTACAAAATGGCAGCATCTATTTATGTTCTCCCTTCATCTTAAGGTACCAGTGTAGTGCTACACTATACTATAGGCTTTGATGAAGCCTCAAAATACTTGACATTTTCATGGTGCTTATTATATGAATATTAAAATAAATCCAGGGTCTCACATCAAGATAATTAGTAAGCTGATATTACAGTCCCATCCATAATCAAATCTCTGTTCATATATATATAATGAATTATTTCTTCAAAACCAAGCTTTTCAATTTCAGCTACAAAGCACATAAAACACCAAGGAACAATTTCTGTGTTTTCTAAAACCCCATTTTCCTGTGCACATGCACAAAAGGTGCAGATATAATTTTTTTAAATCACAAATTTTTGCAAAGTCTTTAAAAAAATAATTTCATATATGTTTTAATGAAGATAAAGTCATTGAAGAATGGCTTTCCAGTTGCAGTTAAGAACATCAACTGTAGCACACTTTCAAAAAACATGCATTTAAAAAAGATAGAAATAAAAAAATTCGACCCTGAGCTTAAAAACATCTTCAGCAAAACACATTTGCCATTCAGTTTTCAATATCTGGTAAGAAAATAGATATGAGAATGCCTCAGAAAACCACTGAATTGAGTCAGATTTTGAGTTAACTGTTTATCCTGATCAATTATAAAATTGCCGGTGTATTCTGTGGGGGATTTCTAGGTTCTTGATATACAACAAGGTTTGAAAATTCCTTTTGATGCATAGGAAAAGAATGTGAAAAGAAGGACCTTGGTGCAGAACAAAAGACATTTTTAAGCTGAAATTTGCATTTAATGCTAATAAATATGCCATTTTAATGCCTCAACAAGAAACTGGCACGGAGGTTTTCGCGTGCAAAAAGCAGCAGACCAGCTTTCCATGGCTACTGCTCCTTGCCTTTCACACCCGCCTCGTCTGCCAGCTGGATCTATCTTGAAGGAGAGACCTTAAATCCCTGCAAGCAGGCTGTAAGGCACATGCAGTAGCAGCAGTGTACTGACATTTGCTAAGCACCAGCGTCCCTCAAGTGACTGGGAGCGAAGCCATTGACGTCACTGAACAATAGGCAAAATATTTCCTCCTCCTCCATAGTCCTGAACTGTAAACACCCAGCTTGCACACAGCAGGCTGAACATTTGGGGAGAGGCGGAGAAGGAGAATGTGAAAAACTCTCAACTGATGCTGCTGAAAACAAGCAGCTGTTTCTGCATAACCAGTCTCGTCTTATTCCTTCCATTTTGCTGTGAGGATTGCTGGTTCCCCCTTAGTGTAGGTCACGCAGTAAAGAAGATAAAGCTAAAATAAACTGTAAATAAAACTATGTCCACTGAACTTACAAGGAATTTTTTGAAGTGCCTATTAATTACAAGTTTAAAAAAAACCACACTCCTTTTCTCCCTCTTTCTGTCTCTGTTATGGATAACTGCAGTATAGTTACTGCATCCATGAGTTTTGGAGAAAGTGTGGTGGACTGAATGTAAGTGAATTTCATCTCAGTCACCGTCTCTCCATACAGCTACATTATTGCAAGCCAGAGAGACAAAACCCCATAGATCATAATTATAATAATAAATCACATAGTAAATGCTCTAGATTTGCTGTAAAGACCTGTTTTACTCCTGAAGCTGGAGAGTTATGGTTATGACATAGGCAGAAAACAAAAGGGCATAGTTAATCGTGAAAATTTTTACAATACATTTATTTTTGAAAATTACAGCTTTTTTGTGACTTTATTAAAAGAAATACTGATGCATGAAATCATTAGGATTTGCCAGTTACTTGACAGAATATTGATATTGTGTTATGAACAGTTAAGCAGTTCTGGAATGTTGTAAATCCAGGGAAACTAATTCAACTTTTTTCTTTTCAGCCTCATGTAAGCAGCTGCAATCCTGCAACCTTCCCTGTTTCCAGAGCATCCCTTGGAAGATCCCTGGAGGGCAGGAAAATGAGACCACTAGAAACAGGGAGCAGTGTGGTGCTGAAAAGAGGTCAGAAACGCTGTACCTCCAAAAAAGCTCAAGAATACCACTGAATCAGGGAGCCCTGTAAGCTCCTGTAAGCCTTTTCATGGAATGCACCAGCTTATTTGGTCCATCAACGTGAACTAGAGAAATGAATCTCACCAGGAGTCTTCAGCCTTGATCCAAAAGCCAGCACTGGAAGAAACCCTCAGAAATAGCTCCATAAAGATATTGGTTTTCTTTTTAGAGCCTTGTCTGAAAAAAATCAGCTTGATGTGCCTGGAATGGTTTTAGGAGTGTAAAAAAAAATGATAGTGCCACCTGATTGCTAACTGAAGAGTTATGTCTATGGGAGTCAAAGTGATCCAGGCAACCATAATGTCTGTTTTCCTCGAGCCTCATTTAGGCTTTGCTCACTTTGACCAAGGTGGTGAACAAGCCCCCTTGGACATATTTGTTCTCAAACAAAGGTAAAGGGATCATGCCCATCACCATTTTCTGCAGAAGACAGCCAAGTAAGACCCAGGGAGGGGCACCTTTTCTCCCTCTCCAGCGTGGCTCTCTGTTGAACGAGGCTGTAAGGAGGCACATCACATTTGCAGCATATATTGATTTATGATTTCAAAGTGCTGAACAAACAGCCATTTTTTCTAAACAGACCATAAGCAATTGCTCATTATCCCCCATTTAATATGCAGGGAAAGTAGGTGGGCAAATAACCTAGTTTGCTGTTCAATTACTCCAGTGGGCCACGATGTTGCACTAATGCTGCTTCGTGTCCAGCTGCTCTGCTCGTGCTGAATTAGCTGTGCTGCTGAGAGTGCCCAGCTGAAAAAGAATGAACCTCATCACCTCTCCTGAGCGTGCAGCAACAGCACACACAATTAATTGCACTTCTGGGGCTTGACACCTACTGTTCCACGTGTTTTGATCCATTTGTCGATGTGGTGCCACTGAACCTCTGCACCCTGTCTGCGCTTTGACACAGAAAACAGTGGCTGAAATGCAACTTCTCATCTTACCAGAGAAAAGGCATGTGGAAAAGCAACACTTTGCTGGCCTGCTTCCCTTTTTTCTCTTTGTCATTTTTGTCTTTGCATGGGTTACTCCACGGTCAAATGCTGTACTTCTTGATGAGCAAGGTGGCAATATCAAAACATGTAGTGAAATAAAGTAGCTAGATTAAATAAATGAACTGCTGCCTGGCATGACCATTTCACACAAATATGTGTAATACTAGCAAAAAATGCTATATTTCTGATCTGATCAAATCTCACTCTTTCTCTACCTACACCTGAGAAACTATCTAACTATCTACAATGCAAAGCAATGCATCCCTTCTTAGGGGCTGGGAAAGCCTTTCACAGATTTGGGAAGCCAAGTATGCTGAGATATATTTAGAAGCCTGAATTTAGTGAGTGTAGCCTGGGCTGCACAGCTGAGAAGGTCTCAGATCTTTGTACACACCCCAGTTGTATCCCAGTCCCAGAGAGGTGTTCAAGCAAGTTTTTTAGGGGAGGAAAACTCAGACATCTGGATTTGAGAGAGGCTAAGACTCTAGGACAACCTGTAAAAATATTTGCCACTCAGTCTTATGTCTATCTTGGCATTTTCCTTGAGAAGTAGTGTTGCTGGAAGCCAAGTGCAGACTGAGAGAAGGTTACATACTCTTTGGGGAACAGCCTAAAAGAACAGCCTCGAATGTTAAGTACATTTACTTCATTCATAGTAATGCATTTTTAAGCGTACCTTTAGGCGAACGTTTGCGCATTTAAGTTTTACTAGTACAAATACTGAAAGAAAATACATCTTATTATGGTTGCTTGCCCACACTGATGTGAACATCATTTGATACATTCTTACACTTGGTAAATTCCAAGGTTTTCCACCTTTTCCCTTTCACACAGCTGAAAACATATTTCTTAGTAAATATTGTATATAGGACACACAAACATTTCAAGCTACTTCCTGAACATGTGTCTTGAAGAAATAAGGGATGGGAAAAGAAGTGACAGAAAGAAAACCAAAGGAAAATTTCCCTCACTGAAGGAAACATGCCTTTTGCGTTTTGATAACTCCATGTATAGCTGAATGGATTTTACACAAATTTGCCTTCAGGCAGAGCCTGAGAAGAGAAAATGCTGTGAAAGTATGAGAAAGCTACTCACAGCAATGAAGTCTCTACAATTCAAACTTCAGTGTGTTTGCATAAAATTAAAAGTTAACAGAATATAATATTTCCTCTTGTTCCCATCTGAGCTGAAATGAAAGTGTAATATACCTGAAAGAATCTAAGCAGCATTTTCCCTTCCATTAATTGGACCTATGACAATCAGAAAAACCAAAGGTAAAATTAAACCACATGTATAATTCAAAACATGAGCAGATTCTTAAACTTATGCACAAAGTGTCAAGGAATACTTTGAAAAATAGCATCCCTGCACTCCCAGAAAACAACAGCAGAATCATTGTGTGGCTGAATTTTCAAAGGCTAATGTGTCTATAAACAACAGTCTATAGAAATTTGGTTTATAGATCCTGCTTTAGGATCTGCCATGTTATAGGCAAATCAGTCACGTTTAATTATGGCTTTTCTTTCTTTAGTGAGTCCTTCAGCAGTCAAAAGAGGGAAGTTTATTTTAAAATGGGTTTCTATGTGTCCGTAAAGTCTTGGCATGCATAGGTTAATTATTTAAGTATCCTTATTGGGATTTGGAAATCTGAACTTGTGACTCAGATTGTGAATTTTGTCAGGTATGGTACAAGCTGAGGTCTAGACTGATTGTATGTGAAGTAGGTATTGATATCTAAAGTAACTGAAGAAAAAAAATATCCTCTTCACAAGACAGAGTTTTGACATGGAAACCAAACCATTCTCTTGAGTATCTTCTTGAATTTCTCTGCATGTCACCTTGAATCCATATTGCTGTTGACACACAAGAATTTGCTGATTGGGCAATGTTTCTGGTCCTTCTGTAACAGCTAGACATTTATTCCCAGCACAAGTATATTTGTTGAAACCACAAAGTGAACACGATGGGTAAAAAAGTTATTATAGTATAGATGTGATGGAAATTAGATCAACAACGTTAAAAATCAAAGACAAAATACTGTTATATACCTCTGAGTTGTGGGTTTTCTAAGTACTACTGATATACTTGCCTCAAAATGTTATGCTCTAGTTCAGAAAAACTCCAGGATCTGTAAAAATAAGGTAGTGTGCTTTCTACTGCTTGGAATAATTGAGCCCAGTGGAAATACTGGGAGAAGCATCTTGGTGATGCTTCAGTTTTTAGGAAAGACTAGTGGCAATGTAAATTACTGCATATCTGATAAGAGGTGTTCATAAAACCTTGATGAACTGTAAAAGAAAAGTTGAAGTTGGTTTTCAATGAGCACATAAGTTAGCTTTTATCCAGTAATTAGTGAACTGTAGAGACTTGATTATACATCTGTTGAAGTCAGAACAGCTTTGACACATTGAGGAAATTAACACAGGTAGGTCTATTGTTCTGACTCTGACTAATTGCAAGTTTAAAATTAGACATTAATCAAAGAACACTTTAATGTCCTTCTGCAGTGGGAAGAGAATTTGTTCTTACAAAACTCCCATTATTCACAGCTCTCTGTATAAGCAAAGCTTCTTTTCTGGCCCCTTGTCCTGTGTGGTAGGTCACAGAAGATAAAATTTTATAGTGAGGACAGTGGAGTGGCTTTTGCTCACAGAATCTTACAATAAATACACAGTGATTACCTTGTACCAGGGCAAATTGGTGATGTTTTCTTTATTACAGATGGCAAAGAGTCAGAGACTTACCAAGCAAACCTCCTAGGAAATCTTATGCAGCCTGTAAAATATGTGCTATTTTTAAAATTCTCCTAATATGCAGTAAACAAGAAATAAAATTGAATTAGTGTAAAACTCAAGAAATTCCATGTTGTGCACAAATCAAACTAATAAACTAATAAAGGCTAAGATGCTGACATGCAAGGTCAGAGCAGCTGTTCCATGACTTGGCTAACCACCAAGGTTGCCTTGACATTCCTCATGTTATTTATAATTCTGGAAGTTAAGAGTAGATTTATTTATTTAATAGGAGGCTCAATCTATTGCTCCAGAGGTACCTTAGTAGAAAGTACCGATATGCATCAAAGGGCAATGCTTATGGATGGCTGAAACTATAAGGCAAGTAAAACAAAGCAGACTGGAAGCTCACCAGGAGTTTTGAGATGTATCAGTAAATAATAGCATACTTCTTTTGGCTGTAGATTCACTGTGGATTTAAATGAAGGACATTATTTCATCCACCATTTTCGTGGTTAATTTGCAACCAGGGTGTTTACATAAAGTAAATAGTTGGAAATGGAAACTTGATTCTTTGCTTACTGGTCATATCTCAAACCTGAAGTGCATTTCAGGAGTTTAGCTCAGAACCTAACTTATACACAGCCAGCATTTTACATTCCTATCTAGAACTCGCTTACTATCTCTCTCTTAACCATGATTGTTTATTGCCATCAATCTTCTTCACACAAATGTAAATGAAGTAGAAAAAGGTTAGAAAGTATTATGACAATGTAAAATGCATTCACATACTTTTTAAAAAGTGCAAAAGACAACCACAAAAAACAATATCATGGGGATGAATGCCATAGGAAATTATAGTGTGAGATCACACCATAACATGCTTAGAAAGCAGTCTTTGGAATACTCAGCAATTAGTCTTTGGAGTTATTTGACTGTAGGGATAGACCAGCACCGTGTAACACCCTGCCCTAGCAACTGGTTAAGCTCATGAGAATGTGGAATGCAGTCATTCTGCAAGATACTGACCTAAGGAAAAAAAGAGGCTGTTCAATATCATGCCAATATTTCACTTCAGATTGAAGGTTTTTATTTTTTGTTACCCCTCTTTGTTCTTCAATTTCTTTTGTTTCAGGATGACTATATTATCTACAGAATTTTGCTGCACAAACTGCCAGGAGTAAATTTAGTCAGCAAAAATAGTTGAAGAAAAGCAGACTCTGGATTTACAGGAAAAAATGCACCTTAAATCAGGAGCCTGAAAAAAGAGACCAGAAAATGAAGATTCAGACAACAACTAAATTTATTTTCTTTTCATGCATTCTTGTCAAAAACTGCTGTTAGTTGTGGCATTTCTTTACTTGAATGCTGCTTTCAATTGAACTACAATTCTACTGCTCTTTTGCTTTAAATGAAGGTAGCCATAAGAAGGAGCAATTTCATTAACCAGATTTCTAGAAGAAGCTCTAAGAGAAAAGTTCAGCCTACATAGTAAGAAGCGTGTTCATTTAGCACTTGCCATATGCCACCAAAGCTGCTAAGGTTCAAATGTTGAGCATCAAACTCTCAGAGTAGATACTTCACATGAAAATGGAGGGGGAAAAGGTAAATCACAGCTATCAATAAAGGCTTTGAGTCTTAGTTATTCTTAACTGTGCAATTGCAGTCTCAAGCCATGAGATTTCCAACCTGCCACAGAGTCTTAACATTTTGGGAGCATTTTCAGCTTTGCAAAATTCAGAAATCTGAAACACCCTATCTCACAATAAATAGTTAAAGACATGGGCCCTTAATGTGTCTGCATATTTTTTTTTTATTAAAACCAGTAGTGTTGTGGAGATCTCAATGGATTTTATTCTTTGACAGAAACACTCACCTAATCTTTTCCTCAGAGAAAAAATGTTTGTGAAAAATGTACTTTAAATGAGACTTTTTGTAATTAAGGCATTCAGAATATATTTTTTTCTAGTTCAGAAATTCACATTTTATTAATTCTTAAACACTAGATTGTTTTTCATAATGGCATACCATTGTTAATCAAAAGGTCTCCTCTGTATTTCTTGGAGTAAAGCCAAAGCAAAATCACATTATGCCTGAAGGGGAATGCAGATGATCTGTCTTGCTTATCTCATTTCATATTTTTTTTTAATGAATATATGAATTTTTTAAATTAAATTCAAATTCTGTTTTATATACATACACCTACCATTCCACTGCCCTCTGCTGGAGGGAGTATATCCTATAGCAAATTTATGGAAAAGTAATCTGGTTAGCAAAGAGCTGGTGTTTCTGGACCCCAAACCATGGTGTAACTTTCTTGGTGAAGCCTGCAAGGGACATCCACAGGCAGATGTTTGATCAATATCTGTCTCCAGCACAAATAAACATTC